GTGTTTGTCAGTAAAATAATCTTCCGCCAGATGGGAGACCAAGTGGTCACATGAATCCAGTGATCGGAGTTATTTAAAAATTTGATAGGTCCAAGAACAAAGATAAACATCGTAACAGAAATCTTATGATACTGGAGGAAAAATTCCAACCGATTTTACAATCAGGCATACAAAAGTTTTCTGTGGAACAAATGGTCAGATACTCTGGTCTGAAGCTAACAATACTGGCAACCTTAAATTTGGGTTCCCAATAGCAAGAAACACATACAAATGCCGCAAGAAAGTGCTGCACAACAAAATCCATCGCAATAGTGTGCTCACTCATTTTGCCAAAAAACTTGGGAGAAATTTGTGACAAAAAAGGTGAAGTGAAACGGAACAAAACGTTAGAGGGATTAATGAATAAGCAGGACTATATTTAAGCCCGATGTTCGACAGTACAAACATCCAAGAGGATGGACGAAGGTGACATACTTGTACACTGATGTTGAATTCAGATGGATTGGTTAGCATGAGTTCGGTATCAAGGTAGAATGCGGTTTCCAAATGGCCAGCGTTGTACTGCTCAGCGGGTCGACAGTCGACAAGGAAAAAGCGAACTGCCCCTTCTTCCTCTCCTTCTATCTCTATGTCCAAGTTTGGAGGTGATCGATGAAGACGTCGACATGAGACTTGAGAGCTCAAGACATCCTCCACGGAAATCAACAGCGAGAGTGCTCCATCCAAAAGGTGATTATCGCTATCAGGACTCGGTGCTCCAAATAGGAAAGGAAGATAGCTAGTGTTGAAGGACGAAGGTGTTTTGTGACTATACGCCCGAGTTATTTCCACTAACGCCAATAGATCTGATGGCCGCATTGGCTTCGGCAGACCTCGCAATTCAACCAGTATTTCGTCTTAAAACAGACAGACAGAGGCCTAGGTCATACAGAGGAAATTTAAGATTTATGAAGCACAAAAGATGGCAATTGCATTTATTTGCGACGCTTAATCAGGTTATCTACCTACGAACGATTAGAAGAGCACAACTAAGGTAGAATGTGGACAATTTTTTTCTTTGGAATTAAATATTTTCAATATCACAAATAAACTGACTCCTTGCTTCTGAGAAAGTAATCGTAGCATTCCGTTCAGCAACCTTCACATGATCGTTTTCATTCAGAGGAAGTGTTTCTTTCGTTTCCTGATCGATATGCATTTCTTTTTCCATCAGCCTCTCTTTAGAGTTGACGAGGAGGACTAAGGCAACCAGCATACCAAATAATGGTTCGCCAAGAAGGAAGTATATGTCCCAAAAAGCGGGAAGGGCCTCATCAGACAGACAATCCGCGAACAGGCTGTCCAACCATGACTTTGCGTAGGCTTCTGGAGCAAGTTTGTGTGAGTCTAAAAAACTGCACAACTCAGGTTCGTGATATTGTAGTAATAGACGGAAAACGCCGCAAGCATGCAAGCTACCCTGGGTTCCGCTAGGTATGAAGCGGTGATATACAGAAGTGAAACAGACATAGAGGTCTTCCCGATCAATGGGGTGAAGAAAAACATAGAGAGTGGAGAGTATAGAAATCCATCCATTGTCCGAGACAAACGGGAGCGCGTAGGTTTGACAAAAATGAGTAAGCACGGATTCGAAATCGCTAGTTAGCTGGGGCACATTTGGGGGTTCTTTGAGGATGAACAAGTTGGACGACATTGCCCTCGAGATGGAGGCAATGGCCTTAGATGCCGCAGTTACACACACCGAATGAAGTTGTTCCTGATTTGGAAGATCATAGATCTCCGTAAAATTTGACATTCCGCCGATACTAGGGCTTACACGCAAGCACGAACGCCAAAGGTCGCGACGCAGTCTGGCAGGAACTGGACGAGCCTGGCTGATAGACTTGATGTCTGCGAAATCGGTACCTTCTAGACACATGATTAAAGAAGGATAGTGCAGTAAATATCAAGTTCGTCCCACTCCGTTGTTATCTAATGCATAGCTGTTCCTACTAAGAAATTTAATAATATTAACGATTCTGAAAATTGTACATTTGCGAATAGTTTGATGTGGATCGTGAAACAAATAACCCGAAAAACATGCTGATCTGCATCCTAAAGCTCCATCAGCAACTATCGGCACTGACAATAGGAAAATAAAAATCGTACTCAATAGAGCTATTTCAAGCTCTGTTTCCCACGCATCATCAGCGCTCAAATCATCTAACGACGACCCCGACGCGCTAGAAGCCATCCGATGAACGTTATATGTAGTCGCGCAAACTCTGAGACTATATCGAAAACAGCAATAAACATGAAAGGAAGGATCAAAAGCATATGATTTCAGCATTAAAAAATTAAAAGACAGCTAATAAGAGCCTTGCGTTTTAATAATTAATCCGTATGTGTTTCGAAACGAAACACTACGTTTCGTTCTCAACCAAATAGCAGTTACTACAATCTTGGTGGTTGAAATTTATTACGAATTTCGACGATTTACCTTACAGCTTTAATTTTGCGTCTTCGACCTGCAGTTTGAAGATTAAAATTCGGCGCTTCTAAAAAGTGAGGTGCAACTGACTATGAAATATTTGTATGAGGAGAATTGCCACTTATTAGCCTGACCTAAAAAATCTTGGTTAAATATATCGCCCTTCAGGGATGTCCAATAATCTAATTGGAAGTTCGAAGCCTTTGTGTTAGTTTTCTTCGGTGCTCGTGCATTGCGCCATGGAGTGTGCGATTTCTCCTCTTAGGTCTGCCTTGGAACTTATTCGAAGAGATGGTGTGTCGGAAAAATGGCAGTTCTTGTTGCTATTAACTGATGAGGCTCTCGGTACGTTATTGCATTGCTAAAACTTGTAGGTGCTCTTGATGACAAAGACATCCTACTTCGGCTCCCTAAATATAGACTGCGCGAAATGATTTTGGCACCAATACAGGTGTCTTTGGAATCATCCAACAGTAGACTAAACTATGCTGCTATGGTCGCACTTGAAGTAAAATGGATTTCTTACTAATAGCATAGGCGTTTGTTGATTCTGATAATTTATATGATGAATTTGAGGATCCCATCAAAGACACGGACTTGACATATCAGCTCCTTGATACCATTTCTCCATGCACGATCTTCAGTGATACTACTCAGGCTTTTTTTCTTAAGGTATGCTTTATTTCACTAATCATCCTGATGTGCATAGCTTTTGTCGAAGTTGTGCCTCTCGAAAAATAGTCGTCTAACTGTAAATTCGATGTTGCGGATTGTTCAGGTATCGTTTCAGCGCCTGATGCTTATGGTTTTTTTTCCTCCAACCTGTTGATGTGTGCCATTTCGGCTTGATTATTCTTATATATGCATACTGAAATCATTTTTCAATTTCCAAGCGGAGTTATTTTGCACTTATTTATTATTATTAATATTCCTTCTTTGTCAAGCCAATGCTTTCTATCATTTGCACTTAAAGCATTAGGTATTATTGAAGGACTGCCAATATAAAGGCTATGGGCTCATATGACCTCGTGATTTTTATCCAGATATGTACGGATTTGAATTCTAAATACGTTTTGGCTCGAAACAAAGAAAAGGCGTCCATTGCTTATGCAACATTAATCGAGACAGTCAGAGCATTTGTGGAAAAAAATATCGCACTCGCCGATTGTCTGGTTCGTCAACTTTTAAAGCCATTCTTTGAATCAAATATGTTACGTTTTAGTAATATATAATTCTAATTTTTCTAATATTTTATCAGGCTGGTAAACCGAATCCGGTGATCATGCCGAAGTCCGTCTACGCTATTCTTTGTTATGAAAGCTCTTGTGAATCTGTTTTATCTGAACCGCATCTGCAGATTTTGGGTGTTCTCAAATGCCTTATCGAAGCAATTGTGCCGGACAATGTGCCTACGCAAAATACAATGATTATACCTATGTACCTTCAGGCTATTGCAACCACTATATCTCTCCTTCCCGTCTCCTTGATTAGACATAGAGTGTTTTTAAATATTCTCTGGTATGTCGTTTACTCATTGTTACATAACAATGAGGTAATATATGTTTGGACGATTTTTTTTGTTTAAGGCAACGCGTTTGTCCCATGCTTATGTGGTTTTTGAGCAATCCGAAGCAAGAAAAGAACATCATTTCAACATCAGATTTGCTGTTGACGATAGAAAGTGAAGTTGATCGTCAGACCCATGGGACAGCCAGCTCTATAGCCCCTCCAATTCTTTGGCCGGAGGGATTAAAGATAGTTTATGAGTGCGTCTAGTCAGTCTCTTCAATTCCACTCTGAAATACAGATTGTTTGCTACCTTTTTGTTGATAATTTGCACCCACTTAACGTGCATTTTGTCTTCTAAATAGCATTGTAATCGACCTGGCTTTCTTGGTGGGGCCAATTTTTGAGCTTAGGCCTATGTTGGAATCTCTTTTTCATAAGATGCTCCTCTACCCACCACCTGCTTACCGTCAGCATGCTCTCCGGGCTGTATGCGGTGTGAGTTACTGTTTATTTTGATTTTATGCGTTGGTGCGTGTTCTCCTCTAGGATGCCGTTTCAACATTTAGACATTTGTAGTTCATTGCTTTTGTTGTGCATTTGTTTTGTTGCAGCTTTTAAGCACAACTGAGGGACTTCTCTGCATTACTGGGCCACTTATTTCTGTTCCCATGCTTTCAAACAGCAACGGCGTTAAAACTTTGTTCAAATGCGGCGAACTGCAGGTATCAGATCTTCGAATTTTCGACATGTGGGTCTCGAGTCTGTCGACAATTTTCATTGGTCTTATGGAAATTCGATTATGTACAGGCACTATCCCCATTCACTTAGCTAAGCTGGGGTTGCTGTTCTGCGCAATCGATATGCTTCCATACTAATGCTCTGTACATCATGGTCCCAACAGAAATCCTCCATTCTGTCTGGTTCCCCAAATAGGTGGTTGTCCTGACATCGGTCATAGTAACCTTGTTTCGTAACTCCCAATGTTGTCCTCACTTTTATGTGAGGTGTTAAGTCTACTGAGGTCAACACAGGTGTTAGTATCAAAGACGGACAGACTATCGACAAGATTTGCATCAATATTTTTAGGTTTTTTTGACTAAGCAGGCGCCACTGATTGTATTGGGGTGAATTGCTGTTTTTTTAAAACAGATACTTGTTGCAAACAGGTCCATAACTGCGAATATTTTTTGTTGTAGAGGCGTCGACTCAGTGTAGTTATCAGAAGAAGGCATGGCATTAGAATTACGATAAATAGTTTGAATCAAATTTAAGTAAAACCTTGATCTGTTTTTTAAAATTTGTCTTAGTATTCTGGAGTCTGTCCACGCTTGTTCAATGACCAAGGATCAGGCTCTAGTCTGTACCAGCGCCAAATGCGTGAGCCTCATTTCACATTCCCTCTCTGCCCTTATTAAATGTGAGGGTCTATGCGAGGCTCTTGTTCAAATGATTGAGTCTCAGTTGAAACCAATAGATGGTGAGTGTCTTGGCTCCCAAATACCTATTCACACATGAAAACAAACATATTTGCTGCCTCCTGTTTAGAATGCCTTATTGCATATGATCACGGTCAGGAGGTGTCGAATGGAAGTGAAATCCTCAATACGAATGTGAGTTTTTTCTTCCCTTGCATGTACTGCTATTGAAAATTCGCAGGAGTGGATATATACGATGGCTAAGACTGAACTTGGAAAGATAAATTCACTGGCATTTATAAAGAGATGCAGACAAAGTCCCCTTTAACTTACTTAAGCCTAATTTCTAAGAGCGGCCTGAGTTTTACTAAAAGCATTAATATTGTCCCTACTCCTCGTGAACTATAGCTCAGTGAGAGGAGCTTTAAAGGTGTCGTTTTTATGTAGCTACCTCGCACGTTGGAAGTGGATCGATGGGCTGCTCATGATTACCTTCTGTCCCTTATGAAGATCATTCCTAATCTTCTGGAAGCTCGGTCGATAATGGAAGTTGACAACCTCCTTTTGGAGTTCAGCTCTGATTATTGTAAAGGTGAGTCGCTCTTGTATCTTTTTCCCTTTCAAACTGACGGGTGTGATGATTGCGTCCTTTTCTTCAAGAGCGGCGATTGAATGTGGCTGACAGTGTGGTTTGTTCCGTGGACTTCACTGATCGTGTTGACGACGTACACTTGTTAGACATTGACAGCACCCTTCTTAACGCTGACGCTGTTTATGCTACAACTATCGGAGCACTGGCACTGAACTACCGCCTTCTCCAGGCTGGCTTCTATTCTAACCAGTACAAGGCCGAGGTAGTGGTCATGTCTGAGGTAGGTCACTGACCAAATTTTCCATCATTGACCCAGAGTTTCTGATTTTTTGTTGTTGACTCTTTCATTGTAACTTTGCGTGTATCTGTGTTCGTATGTGTTTGCTAGACCGAATTTTTGGACTCCATTCTCGGGACGGGTCTCATGCTCTACATCTCAGAGACGTGGCTGTCGCAGGTCTATCGGGGAATTCGACATCAGGATCTTCTGAGTGCCTGCGGCCTGGATCTCATACTTCTTCGCGGGTCTATCAACAAAACTAATGGTGCAGATTTTCGAGGTGCATGTCTCATTGAAATGCTCGTCGCGTATGATGGGATAGATTGGACCTACGACGTGAGCCACCCTGTTAGCTGGAATTACCCTTCCTCGTTGTTGTGCCGTGTGTAATTTCATTGGGTAAATTCAGTTAATGTAATTATTTGATTCAAATAACTCCTTACTCTAATTCAATTGACTAATTTTGACGGCGAATTTCATCGATGAATCCATGCTGAAAATGCATACCCCTTTCCACTCCTGAGTTTAAATGCCTTTGCCTCGTGGCAACCAAGATCTTCTTTTTAAGTAGAGGTGCATTTGGCATGGCCACATTTTTGAGTCGATTACATTCGTGGTGGCTTAGTAGTCCTTCCATCAGAACTCTGTGCAATCTGCACAATATTTTCAATGAAAGTGACGATATAGATAAAAGTAGCATCATTTGATTGTTAGCTGCTTCATACCACATTGAGCTTTCAATATTGATCCTTTATGGTGTGAATTTAATAAAGGGTGGGAATAACATATTTAGAAGTTGGATATACGGTGTCGGCGAACAGCTCGCATTTTAGTGTTTAAATTTATGTTGTATTCACCAACAGCAGGTGGACATGCTTTAGGCTGACATTCTTGTTTTCAACTAGAATAAAGCATATTCAGCTCATTAAGTTTTTTTGCGCTACCTTGTAGAAGGCCATTGGATCTGATGACAGCAGTAGCAGATATACGGGAAGGGAGGGTGTGGACAAGGCGCTGGACGCGGAGAAGATGCGGCTACGGGTAGGTGAGGCTCTGGTCTCGCATATCCTTTCGGCAGGATGGCAGCGCATTGTTGAAACTCTCGCCAACACAGTAGCTTTTGTTGGCATCCGTGTGGATAAAGCCCCTTCCGGCGTTTCTGCTTTCTCCTTCACCTCCCCCCGTCCCTCTACCGCCTGCGCCGATAGGCACGTTCTCATCTGTTGCTGTTCTCTTTTTTCGTTGTTATTTTGTTTTTGTCTGAAATTCTCCATCCATGTGATAGCAATGTAACGAGCGTAGCTGAGTAAGGTGTATAGTTAAATAAAAACCATGTCTATGCACTATGGTCACAGTACCGGCTCTTAAATCATTCTTCCATACTTCTCTTCGCATTTGGAGCCTTATAGCTTCTCTGTGTTGGGAAAGCCACCGGCGTCTTTTGATTGC